AATATGAACAAAAGAATCACAACAATCACTATAATAATCAAGTTAATTCTATAACCACTCCTCAAATAGCATCAGATTTAGGCACAGACCCTTGATAGTGTTGCCTTCACTGCCAACTCCATCTCTGCCAGTATTTCTGATTTATTGTTCGTTGTTGCCCGAGTCTCGTATAGTCCACATTCCTTCTAAGTTTAACTTCTCTGTTCTCTCACACTCTCTTTCTGTCCTCTTCACTTCTCTCATTAATCTCTGGGACACCAAAAACAGCCACCTTTCTCTCCACCGCTCCCCGCAAGTCGTCCCTGCCACATGCCGTCCTCACCACCTCTTTCACCATCTTGCCACCTCCTCTGATCCTCTCTCCTTCAGCTCTCAATCTGTCCCGGATCCTTCCATTCTCCTTCAGGCTCAGATCAACCTGCCGTTACTGTTACTTTTGGTGAATTTCAGGTCATGGGTTTCTTCTTTCGCCTCTCTTTCGTCTGGTGCCTTCCAATCTCCCACTCTCACTTTCACTCTTTCTTGCTCCTTTCCGTCCACTTTGGTGTACCTCTCTCCATCACTCTAAACTTCAATTTTCTTCTGCTCTTTCAGTTTTTAGTTCTATAAATTACAACTCTTCCTTTCAAATTGCCACTAGAATTTTCGGGGTTACATCCCCCTCTCGGAGCTTGTTTACCAAATCTTCTGGGATTTACTTACTTTGACAGTTCAACACATTGCAAAACTGGGAATTTCTCGACAGTTAGAATGTCACTGTCTGTTGATAGTGTTTTTTCTTCCTTGTCTGCTGTGGCTTGTCATGGCCTCGAGTCCGCCATGTCAGAATGACATGACAGGATGCTTGTCGCGCCAGGTTAAAGAGGGATCCTTTCATTGTGGCGGGTGGTTGCCTTCCACCTTACCATCCCCCAGGCGTCCCCTCTGTTTTGCGTGGCTATCTGCACCTTCAAAGGGTCCCCGATCATGAAGAAATCAGAGTTTAAGGACGGACATCATCCTTTTCCCTCTGCACCGCCGAGACGTCGCCACCGGAAGTCCCGAACAGATTTTAATCCAGTGGAGATTTATAACAGCCTAGTGATAAAAGTTTTAGATAACAACATAGAATCATAAACCATTCAAGCTAGGTGTTCATGATCCAAAAATTGAGAAAATCTCTCTTCCCAAATTGCCATGCATATTCCTGAGTCTAAACAACCACACTAGCTTCCTCTAGTGATCAACAGTCCAGTTTTTTTCCATTTGTAAACTATATATCCTGCATTTCACTATTCTTTAACAAGCTGAAGTGTCCTAATAACAATCCATCTCCAGGGTGCTTTGTTACTTTCCCTGAAAGCAGTACTTTTTATCTTTATTCCATATACGTTGCTTAGATAGTCACTTACTTGGTTTCCTTTTATGTATAGACAATGCCCATGAAAGGTTTATATTTCAGACACTAGGCTCAAAAGCAAACAGCAGCAGAAGCTGGAATCATTCTTTTTTTTTTTCTTGAAAACATTTTCCCCATGTTATTCCATTTGTCTAAAAGTTTTATGATGGAGCATTAACTGCACAGTCTAAAAAGTATTAAATCTTTTCCTGTGTGTTTTTGGAAAATGAACTCTTGTCAAGCGTGCTAAAGGCAAGAGATTCAGGCTGCTGGAGAAACGATCTCTAGTTTTTTAAAAAAAAAATGTTTGATGTTGTTGGCAGTTTAACGCAGCTAAACCAACACATATTCATAATCCAGTGTACAACAACTGTATGCTGCCAGCTTCCTGAAAGATGGTGCCAGCCAGCAAAGATACTTAATCAGTATCAGTCAACACATTTCTGATCGCAAGGCCAGAAACATATTTGTGTGAAAGAAATTTAGTCTATAGGGTATTGGAGCAGAGATGAGAAGCACAAGGTTCTTCAAATGTGGTTGTTGAATTACAGCTCTCATAATCATTGGCTACCATGGAAGTGTCTGATCGCAATATCTGCAAACCAATGGATTCTTAAAGAGACCTACCCTCGTGAGGACTGTTTGATGCTGTCTTACCAAGCATAGGACAAGCAAGATTAAGAGGGCAGAAGCCTAAACGGAAAGTCAAAAATCAAATGCTTGGACTTGCTGGAAGTTTCAGAATTCCAGGAGCAGCTATGTACATGTTGCCATAGGAACAATATTCCCACAATTATAGGAATCACACAACTCCAGATTCACTGCTAAAAGAATACAGATTTCAAAGGGCCTGGGTGGCTTTTCCCATAATATCTAAGGTACTGAGTGCACATTATTCTGGTTATAATTTCACTACCCCCACTCTGGTCGCTTCAGCTTTTTATCAAAAATATGCTGAATTCTGATGCATACTTTTAAAAAGTGTAAATAATGCCTTCGTGCTGATTTCATGGATTTCAGGCATCACATTTTAAATTTAAATTTAAATTAGGCCATAAATGTAATTAATGCATTCGAATACATTGATTCTGTACCATAACTGACAGAATTCTGCTATGTGTCATTCCTTCACTCTGCAGAGAGAAAATGTCAGGACAAGAAATGCACAAATTCCTGCAATCTCATTCCATTTCACGGATAATCTTCTGGACATGACAAGTTTCTAAGCAACTGTATAAAACCATCTCATTATCTACAACAGATATGTTAAACACAAGGCCTGCAATGGACCCAGATTTGGCCAGCGGGGCAGCCCCTGCCGCTCGACCACAGCTCACCCAGTGCGCACACAGGAGGCAGCAAGTGGGCATATGCACAAGAAGCAGTGAGTGCGTGGAGGCCAATAGCGTACAGCAACAGCAGCGCGCTGGCCAGTGTGCTCTGGGTCTCCTCAGTCTGCACAGCACAGGTGGAAGCGGGACACTGCGATACTGGGTTGGCCCTCCAAGCAGCAGGTGAAGGCAGTGGCGTGGGGGGACGCATGTTATCTGGCTCACCAGATGGATGCCCGCCCACCCACTTGCTCCGTCCCATTTTCTGTCTTGTTTGCCTGCGGCCACTACAGCTGAGATGGAGCAGGGCAGCCATGCAGCCACCCAGCGCATCTGGCAGGCTGGATCGCATGCCTCCTCTACCACGTCTCTTCATTTGCCTAGACTTGAGGGTCAGCCTGGCAGTCTCATCAATCGGACTCACTTGTGCTGTGTGGACTGAGGAGTTACGGCTGTGTCGAGCTAGGCCATGCACAGCCTGGCCACGCCCACCCAGATGCCTGTTACCACCCAGCCATGCCCGTCCCTACCACGCCCTTTCTGAGGGCAGCCACAATACTGATGTGGCCCTAAATGAAATTGAGTTTGACATCCCTAAACTAGAAGTAGACATGGTCATCAAGCAGAAGCTTACTATGAATGTTATACCATGGAGGAAAATTTTTATTTCCAACCATTTCTGATAATACCAGAAGAAATGTACAAAGCATTCCATTTCATGGATAATCTTCAGGACATGATGAGATTCCAAGCAACTAGGCAAAATTGCCTCATTATCTAGAAGTAGCTAGAGTCATCAAACAAGCTTACTAGGAAGGGTTCATCCATGGACATCCATACCATTTCTGATATCTGTCCCACATCAATAGTAATGAAACTGTAATAACCTGTCCTAAGTTTATAAGATTTCTTGTTGAAGATCTCTAAAGCTTTTTACCAAGAAACTGAACAAGTGCTATATTGGCTTTGTTATATAGAAGGCAGTCACAGCAAGTTGAACAGAGATTATTTCAAAACAACCGGAGAGAGGAAGATGTGGACCTATTTAATACTGACATGGGGAATTGTGAAGAAATCTTAGAGCCACTGACTAGGCTGGGAAATCCAAAAGTATCTCAGAAGTGGTAGTGAAAAAACCACTTCCATGCAGAGAAGCTAATACGGACATTACTAAGTGATCAAGCAGAGTCTGAATGATGAGATCTACATGATATAAAATAGATATTAGAAATTTGAATGTTATAATTTTAGAATGCACAAATTCAAAGTTTAATGAGATTTCATATGATCATAACAATAAGATTTAAAGGTGTTGCACTTCTATTGGAAATCATAGGGGGAATTTTGCTTAAGAATGTTGGAAAGACAGAGGAAATGGTCATTCAGAAAATAACAGCCTATGCAGAGATGGATAAGTTAACCTTAGCACTTAAGGAAAAAGAAACATCAGAATACTATAGAAGCTGGGAATGCTGGTATGAATGGATAGAACAAAAATAGAAAATATATTAGAATATAACGTAAAATGTAAAAGAGGTAGTAATTATATATTCGCAATAAGATGTATTTGTAAATATATCATCAATATTGATAACAAACAAGGAACCATAGACTGTCGATAATAGAATTGCTAGGGTTTTTTTTAATCTTTTTTTTCCTTTTTCTTTTTTTTTCTGTGTGTTGTGTATGTGTTTGTTTGACATTTTAGTTGTATAATTAATAAAGTTTGTTTTAAAAAAATGTTGGAAGAGAACATATGAAATTGTAAACAAGACAGACGAAAGTATAAGTACAATGAATAAAAAGATATAGAAATTTAGGTAAAAGAAATACAATTGAATAAGAAGAAAATGAGATAACCATAAAAGAAAATTAAGAGAAGTAAAGGGAGAAATAGTGAGAAGTTGGAAAAAGAGTAATAAGATATGAAATTGAATACATAAGATGAATATGCATATGAAATTGTGTCTGTATGGAAATGTGATAACCCGGAACCATGCTGTACTCAAATAAGATGTTTTATTTGTTTTGTTAAAACTCAATAAAACTTTATTTTTAAAAAAAGTATTGAGACAAAAATTACATTTATTTTAATATGGAACTGAGCGTTGCTATTTTAAACCACATATGAATTCTTTAAAAACTAGAGGTGTCATCTGTAGTCATGCAACACAATCTCTGTAACATGTTTTAAGGGGGCACACCAAGCCTCTGGATCCCCTGAAGGCCATAGGGGGAATGCTAGTTTGCACTGGTTATCAACATTAATTAAAAGATATGAAGCACTGTACCTTCTCCTGAGGTGTGCTGGACTGCCACAGCTCTCCCCTGGGAATTGTTGCTGGTCAGATGGGACAGGAGGCCACCTATTCACTGCCAGTTCCCATGGTCGCATTGGGGATGTTCACAAGGCAAAAGGTGATGCTGGATCTCACACTCCAAACGCAGTTCCACACTGGTTCTTTGGGATCTGCAAAAAGTGATTAAACAGCTATTGAACACAAACTCTGAAATAAAAAGAGTTCTACGTTTTAAATCAGAACAACTTCTAGAAGAATTATGCTAGCAGGACATCACTGGCAGGCTGCAACACAACAGCAAGAGGTGAAAAAAATCTCCACATTTTCAGTGATAAGCCTACGACTCTCTTCATATTATGTGGTCCCCACTTAAAAGTTCTCCCTGGATAAGTAACTCATAATAATTTTGACTTGCTTGTTCATTTCTCTGCCTTTTCTGTTTCCTATCTTTCATTCTCTTCTACGACTTTTAATTAAATCTAGTTGTGAATCCAATTTCATCTCTTCCTTTTTTTTTAAGAAGTTCAGAGCACTCCAGCTTAATCCTCAGGACAACCAAGACACATAACTTAAAAATATAAGACAGCAAATGGGCCAGGAAAACCCGTGACTGAAAGAGAATTAAACTTTGAATGTCCAGACCCAACAAAACAATTCATAGATCATGTTTGACCATATAATAAAATTAGCAAAGAAAGCAGGGTGGATAAAAATAGATTTAAAAATTTTTTTAAAAAAAAATTGGATGTTTTAATTTAAATCAGATTTTTTTTATTTTTATCAAATTTATTTTAATAAAATGTTTTTTGAGTAAAAAATCTATTTAGAGATAGTTTTCTATTTAAGATACATTAATAATTTAGTTTATTCTGCATGAAATGGAGCTTAGTTGTATAGTATGAGGCTGTATATTCTGCAAAATTTACAACTAATTCAGTGAATCCACGCTCTCCAAGCTAAATAGGAAGCCTTCGTTTTGTTTGCAAGTAATATTAAAGATTGTAATTACCAGCAAGAACGCCGCCTTACATTTAAAGAGCACCTGTCGTTTCAGATCCATCATGGCAGAGCCTGCTAGCAGGCATCCATTCACCTGCTGCCCGCCACGTCTCTCACCTTGTTGCATCACCAGCCATACCATTAAAGTGAATGGGACTGTCGGTGAGTCAACAGCGGCTCAGAGGAGGAGCCGCTGTGGGACAGAGATGACAGTTGCTGTTTAAAAATTATGATTTAAATCGAGTTGATTTAAATCAAGCCTTTTTACTTGTGATTAAAATCATCCAGAGTCTCTTTTTAAAAAAATAAGAATATGCTAACATTCTAATGCCACTACCCAGCAATCAGTTTAGGGAAGGTTGCCTATGATAGGTAATAAATAGCAATATTATAGCCTGATTTTCTTTAAAAAAAAACTACTCAAATTAAATACCATTACAACTTCTAGCAGTGAATTCTATATTTTAACCATGCATTGTGTAAAAAGAAACCCATTTAATTCCGTGATTCCTGCATTATCCTGCATTTATTCATTAGATATTCACTCAAATTCTAGCACTGTGATCAAAAGATTGAGTTGCTACAGATTTTCCTGAACAGGAGACAATCTTCATCTTAATAAGTAATAATCCTTAATAAATTATTTGCTTTTGCCTCTTTTCATAATGTGTGATGATCAGAACCATACACAATATTACAACTGTAGATTCATTTAAGATTTGTGCAAGAACATTGTTATATTGGCAGTTTTATTTTCAAATTAATAATTCCAACCATCAAATTTGATCTTTTTTTAACAGCACCTGCATAGAGGATTGATAGTTTCCTCAAACTGTTCCTCATGACTCCGAAATCTCTGTGATGACCCGGGGTGTGGCACGAAGGCAACACAGCCAGATAATAAGTAGGAATCCCTTTATTAGCTCCAAACTTTGCTCCCAAGGTCCTGGTTACCTTCTGGTCTGGAGAAAAACTCTCCCAGGAACAGCCTTTGGCTGCAAAGATTCAAATTCAAAATGTTGACAACAGAAAACTTTACCTATAAGTCCAATCAAGGCAAGATGAGGTAATTAATCTGGCAGTGCAAGATAAGAAGTTCCAGAAGGGAAATAGCATGGCAGTAAATCAACCCAGTTGGGAGGATGCCAGGAACGCAGATAACCACAGTCAACACAAGATAAACTCACGTTTGTTCCTAGCAAACGCAGCTCTCAGCTGCCTCTCCTTTAAACTCTTCCCAGGTGTGCCTAGTGAAGGGAATCAAGGCCCTTTCCTCCCCCATAAGCCACGCTGCTCTCTTCTCTGTTTTTCCCTGCATGCCCTAGGAGGGAGAGGGGGTGGGGGCCTGGGTCTTCCTCTGAACTTTCTCTCCCTTGTTCTACCTCTCCCCTGCTCTGCACAGCCTCACTTTGCCCTTCCCCCCAGTTTCCTCCACAGCCAATGGAGTCCCACTCCCGCTCCCTGTCAGCTGTTCGTCCTCCTCAGATTCAGACTCCAACAGGGGCATGACAATCTCTTTCTTATCAGTTACTTACTACCTGTTAAGACTGTGTTAAGTTATAGGTGAAACTTGGATCTTTTATGTCAGCAAGACCAGTTTGCATTTGTTGATCCTGAAGCACATTTAATATTTTGAAGCCCATTCACACAATTAGAAGAAGCCTTTAGGAACTCTTCTCAATCTCCCCCTTTTGGTATCATGGGCAAAACTGAAAAATTAAATTCATAATTTAATTCTCATCTTGATGTATTTTAGAGACAAATTTTAAAAAACAGGTCCAAACATGAATCCATTTTGCATATCTTGCCTAGTATGAGAATTATCTGTAATCTTATTTCCTTTTTTGTAGCTAGTTTCCACTCTATGAGAACACCTATCCTCAGGGGTTTTGGTGAGGGAATTTTTGTTCAACATTGGATTTCTGAAAATCCAGGTATACAGTATCTATTATAAAGGTGGTATGCTTTTTAATACTCACCAAAAAGGATAGAATATTCATAAGAAAACATCTTGGTAAAAGCCAAGACAATTTTCTGCATGGCTAGGTACGTCTATTTTTCTCTAGTATTTTCAACCATTTTCAACAAATGAGATAATAATCTGGAGAGCCAATCTGGTATAGCGGTTAAGGCAAGAGCTTAGTAATTAGGAGACTATGAGTTCTAGTCTCATCTTACATACAAAGTCAGCTGCATGACCATGAGCACTCATAGCTTTTCAGCCCTAGAAGTCAGAACAATGCAAAACTTAATAAGAAAGCTACAAGGACTTCTCCAGTCTGTCATTAGGAGTCAACACTGATTTGAACAGATACACATAGAGATTAGACTCTAACTGGCTAATTTATTTTATTGCTTCTAAATTTTCTAGGCCTGAAGAACAGATGATGAAGTTAAAAACAATTTGATTCCAAGAACAGTTGTGATGTTAAAGAAAATTTGGGGTTTTTTGAATGAAAAATCCAGCAGTTTCAATTTAAATTCTTTAAATGTATGTATGTGATGAAGTGATGAAGCTTCAGTGATGAAGCTCCCACAACTTCTGAAGGCAAGATGTACCATTGGTTGATTGTTCTCACTGTCAGAAAATTTCTCTTTATTTCTAGGTTGAATCTCTACTTGATCGGTTTTGGAAAATAGGTTGATACGCTCCTCTATATGACAGCCTCTCAAGCGTTGGAACACTGCTATGTCTCCCCTAGTCCCTCTCTTCACTAGACTAACCATGCCCAGTTCCTGTAACCGTTCTTTATATATTTTAGCTTCCAGTCCCTAAGCATCTTTGTTGCTCTTCTCTGCACACTTTCTAGAGTATCAACATCTTTTTATAGTGTGATGACCAAAACTGGATGCAGTATTCTAGGTGTGATCTTACTAAGGCTTTATAAATGGTATTAATACCTCACTTGATCTTGACTGAATCCCTCCATTAATGCAACTTAGGGGATTGCATTGGCTTTTTGGCTGCCGCTGCACATTGTTGACTCATATTTACCGTGTTTCCCCCAAAATAAGACCCTGTCTTCTATTTTTTTGCCACCAAAAAGGCACCAGGTCTTATTTTGGGGGGATGTCATCCACTGATTAACCTCCCTTGTGTACATCGTCCTCAGCCTCCTTTTCGTTGTCAGAGGCCTTCAGGAACTACTTCTTCTGCAGCCAACAGGCTTTTCTGAAGACCTCTGCAGCCGACAACAGAGCTCCAGATCGATCCTGAGTTTTGTTATCAGCTACATAGGCCTTCAGGAAAGCCTTGCCAGCTGCAGAAGAAATGGGCCAGAAAGGTAGGAATTGGGGTGTGCGAGGCCTGGCTACAACTGTCCAAAGGTAAGTAGTAGGGCAGCTCCACCCCCATCCCCACCCTAGCTTAATTTTTACCTGTGCACTCTGGAGTGGGTGGGGTTTTAATTAGAGCTCATTTTGAGGGTAGGGCTTATATTGGGGGCATATGTAGAAATCAAGCTAGGACTTACTTTCAGGGTGGGTCATATTTCCGGGGAAACAGGGTAACTGGTTGCCCACTAAGTCTCCAAAATCCCTCTCACAGTTACTGCTATTAAGTCTGGTTTCTCTCAATCTATATGTGTAGTTTTGCTTTTTCTTGCCCAAGTGTAAGACTTTACTTTTCTCTACATTAAATTTCACATATAAATGCAAAAGAAAAGATCTGAACAGGCCAAGATACTTTTCTATTTAGAGTGGAATAGCAATCACACTGATCCTGACTCACATAATTTTATCATTGGACACTCAGCAGGAGACCTAAATGTTAGAAGAAGGCATTCTTTATCTTAACTATCTACTCTACTGCATCTACTAATGGCAAATAAAAACTGTCTGGCAACTAACAATGTGTCAATTCATCTAATCATTCCTTGGCTAGCCATTGCTATAAAAGCTTTCCATTTCAAGTGGAGTTAACTGACACAATAAAGCAATTATTTTCACTGATCAGCACTGCTATGTCAACTGGCAAAAATCTTCAGAATAACATAATAGGGCATTATAGTGAAAGAGCTTTTTTCAACCTGGAGCCCTCCAGGTATACTGGGATCATGATTCTCAAAGGAAAGCTATCTGGGAATTGTGGGAACAGAAATCCAAATACAGATTGGGGAAAGCTTCCTGCACCTAAGCCAAGTATCTCCTCAGACATCATCCAAGTCTTCTAGCTGTTCCATTACGTTAAATCTCATGAGTTCCGTGACCTCTAACTGTACAGGCTGGCAATCAACTAACATATATAATGCATATTTGTCTTTAGGCCTCACCAAGCATGCCACAGAAAACAATATTGTGCTTCCTATAAAATGGTAGTTTTAAAAGGAAAAACCAAATCATCATGGCAGTACACATATTGGGGAATTCTCATAATGAGTCTGCCCCATCTCTCCAAAATTTCTTGTGAAGCATGTCACTATCACATGCTTTGAATTTTGCATAAACATTCCAAGTTAAACAGAGAAACAAGAAAAAGAGGAAGGAAGAAAAGGGGGTCCCAAGCAGAGGTGGTATTCAGCAGGTTCTGACCAGTTCTGGAGAACCGGTAGAAATTTTGAGTAGTTCAGAGAACCAGCAAATACCATCTCTGACTGGAGATTTTACAGTATTCTTCCCCTGCCAACACCCACCAAGCCACACACACAGAGCCAGTAGTAAAAAAAAAATTGAATCCCATCACTGCTCCCAAGATATATCAAGATGTACAAAATCCATGAATTCATCTAGGAGGCATATTTTCTGAGTAGTAGATCAGTGAGAAATTATCAGTAGACCAGTTACTACCAGTTTCTTCTCATATTCTCCTGTAATTTTTTTAGAGTAAACAACAGCACCAGTGCCAATAAAATCTTCAAAGCAATATTAAGATTTTTCTCCTCTTGTAGAGGTTTCCCACTTTATTTGCTCTTCTTTCTAAAACCAAACCTATAACTTCGCCCACACTTCCTGCATCCCTCCTCCATTTCAATTCAAACTATTCAAGTTCTGTATCCATTTGGAGAAACCAAGGAAGAAAAATGTTCCCCTCTTGTGGAACAACCTGCATTGTGTTTCCGGGTAAGAAGAGAAGTTTGCAAACTTTGGGAGAATCAAAAAACGAGACTGGCTCTGTTCAAGAGGTGGTTCTCATAGAACAGTCACAGAACTGGCATCTTGAAATAAAACACCGGATAAGGTTGCATCTCCCACATGCATGCTCCATCATTCAGAACACGCCTCCCACAATCACCTCCCCCCAATGCCATACTATCTGGACTTCATGAAGTTCAAGTAAAAGACATCTGGAGAGCAGCAGCAAAGGAAAAGCAGTAGCAGCTTTAGAGAAACTCATGACAGGAAACCACCATGGCCGTGAACGCTCAAAAAGGACCCCCCCACACACACAATCTGGTCAAGACAGAAAAGGAGGCAGTGCCCGAAAGCTACTTCCAACCATGACCCCACCACCACTCTGATTCCTGTTCCCTCCAGGTCCTTTGCATTCACAAGTCACCTTCAGACATTTGTTTCACAACACAAACCGGCGACTCAGATCCCCACCAGCCGATTTTCAGTCTCGAAATCGGTCACTGCCCGTCAATCCCAATCGGAATAAATCCCGCACTTTGATTGCTCCACAACTGCTCTGCGTTTGCTGCAAAACGCCGGACCCGATTTCGTTCAGGTAGCGGCCGTTCATTTTCAACCCGGGAGTCGCCCGCAATTTCTTTTCCCACCCCACTCTGGTCCATGAGAAGGCGGTTTTCTGGGAATTTCTCTCGGCTTTTTGCTCTCAAAGGTCAGGAGACGATCCAAGGCGATCCAGGTGCAAGTGACAATCGAGGAGGAGGAGGAGGAGGAGGAGGAAATGCCCCGGACTGCATTTTTGTTGTCGGGAAGCCGCAGTTTGCAGTGCCGGCCCACTTGACCCTCCCCCAGCAGCATCACCCATAACCTTCTTTAGCAGAAACCGAATTGCATTTTTAGCACCACCCAAATTGCATTTTTAAAACGCGCTTTTAATGATGGCTTGAAAGGGCCTTAACCATCCGGAGGACCGTTAAGCTTCGCAGTCCAAGCGGCGCGCCCCTCCCTCCCTCCCTCCCCGCGCATCTCCTGCTCGCAGCGGTGAATGCAGGCGACGAGAGCCCTCTTCGCTCCGACCTACCTGCCTGCCGCACTTCTCTGGGTGCAGCTACACCCCACATAAGCCCTCCTTTTTGCCGTGGTTCCTGGGCGCCGGCTCCCAGCCCCGTGCCCGCGCCCCCCACGGCTGTTTCCGGTTGCTTCTTTGTTTTCCTTCGCGCTCGCACAGATCTCCAGCCTCCGCCGAGTTGCCCCCAGAGCCGGGGAGGTCCAAGGAGGCGCCGGCGACCCCAGGTCTCTGGTCCTTTAAGAACCGCCTGCGCCGCCGGGGTGTAACGAACGGCGCATTTTAGTCACAACATTCGGACCTGAGTGCGCGCGCCCGAGCCTGGCTTGGCCCAACTGGGGAGGAGGGGTAGAGGCGCGGCCCCGAGCGCTACAACACGTGACCGGGGCCGGCGCTACAATTAGCCAAAGCCCACGGCCCTCTCGCGCAGTCGTGCTTGGTCGCGTCTGGGCGAGCTGCACGCGGCAGCAGCGAAGCCAAAGCCTACCGAGGGGGTGTTAGCAGGGCGACGTCATGGCAACCATAAGCGAGGTGCGGTCAGCGGGACGGACCTCGGAGGAGCTGTGTAACACGGCTGGGGATTCTAAGGCACCCGCGCAAAAGGACCCGAGCAAGTAAATATTGCTGATACCTGCAGGGGGAGGCCGGAACGATTCCTTCCCGGCGAAAGAATCTGCTATTTTAGCATGTTGTAATGTGGAATTGTACTGAATGATGAATAACTGTATGTAAATGCAGTTGGTTGGTGCGGTGCTACTCACTGAGATAAATTATGTCGTTAATAAAATTGTCACTTTATCATAATCGAAACCTAAGTGTACTTCCGTCCTTGCCTTAGAGAATATACATGTTATATCCCGAATTACACAATGTAAATGCATAGTAAAGAAGTAAAGGGAGACTTTTAAATAAAAACATGGCAGTAAACCTTATTTAACAAAAAGTCCAATTTTGTGGCTTTTATAGCTCTTTTTTCAAATGGCGCCTTTCCAACATTTCATTAACAGTACTTTAACTTATATGTTTCAAACAAAAATAGACATCCATCAGGTCAAACCAGATATGCCAATACAGGCATACCTGGTGTTTATTTTTATAACCCTAAGTGGTATTGCGACTCTTATTTGTGCTGCAAGATTCTGGTCTTTTGATAGCCAGAACCATGACTGCTTCTAAGGGGAGTCTTGTATGATTTCAATTTCTGAATACCCATCCAATGAAAACAAGGGGGAGAAATGAGCAAAAAGATGTCCCACAATCTCAATTATGAACAAGGCTCAGATTTTATAAAGTATTATGGCAGCACTTTGTATTAAAAAAGGCAGACAATGTTCTTTTCCCTTTAGGAGAAAAACTTTTGAAGTGGAATGGTAGATGGAATCATCACATGGTTGGAGAATTGAATTGAATTGAATACTTTATTGGTCAAGTGTGATTGGACACACAAGGAATTTGTCTTGGTGTAAATACTCTCAGTATACATAAAAGGTACATTCGTTAAGAATCAAGAATCATAATGTACAACACTTAATGATAGTCATAGGGTACAATCAGCAATCAAATGATACTAGGAAACTGGATTATATTTTGTAGACTTGATTTTATTTCTGGAGGATGTCTATAATTTTTAAATAATTGGTTGCAATGTCTGGAGAACTTTTATTCTAAGTATTGCCATTAATATTAAACATTGTGCTTATTCGTTTTAGTTATGAATGCTCTAATTTTGGTATGATTTTAGTGAATACTGTGTGTGTCTTATAAAACGGTGTGTGTCTACTAAATGTGGCTCATTTATTTTAATGTTTACATGTTATGTGGATTATTTTTCCATCTGAATATTGCTTTGTCACGTCCCTATAGAATCATTCCTCAACAGTCCAGATATGTTTAATTGCACTTTTAACTTGTTGGTTTGTGAAGTTCTCAAAGAATCTGCAACAAACTTACAGGATTTTTATAGACTCAACAGAGCCATCTAAAGTGCCTAGTAAATTCAGTCATTACTGAGCGGCCCTATTAGAATCTTTGCCAAGAGCAAAACTTCTTCCACATAATCTTTTACATACAACGATGAAAGCTTTATAAATCAACAAAACTATTTAAGGAAGTTGTATTCAGCAGCTTAATAGTAATTCAATATGCTGCTGGCTAGCCCTATAACGTCAGAGTTGTAGCATTTGCTCAATAGGATAAAATAACAGTCTGCCCTCCAAAGTATTTGCCTTCTGAATTCTATAAAAGTTAGAATAATACTCAAAGAAAAGAAAGGAGGGGTGGATGGTAGTTGCCTATTGTTATCCAAACAGGAGGACCGTCTTCAACCAATGAAACCTGACTATGTGTTAACATTTGCAATTTTGGGAGGACCCAGTATCTTCATTGAGAATGATGCTGGCAAGACTGTGAGCTCCTAGTCAAGTCATCCTTACCAGTAAACTTGGAATATTTTAAGGTTTATTGGGAAAAGATGTTGAACTTTCATATACTTGGAAGTTGATATGGCCAAACGGAAGCCATAAGGATATGTAATCACTGCTCATATTGGAAGAGCATATCCACATTTTATGAGGACCAGTACAACTGGGAGATGAAATATGAGAAGTATTTATCTACATTCCACAGGCCTTCCCCAATATGTTATGATTCTGAACCAAGGAAAACCTAAAATTGTCAAAATAAAATAAACCATTCTAAATTTGATGTTTAGGAATAAGAATTTAGATGGTATAAATAGGTCAGGTTTCCTGAGAAATAATTAGTAATTGGAGAAATGATTCATGGCATAAAACCACATTAAGAATTGGAATAGCAGTGATACTGTTAAGGATCTGTCTCACACTATTATGAAATAACTGAAATATATCCATTTTTAATTTGCGGGAAAACATTGAGGTTTCTCAATTCAAAGTCCAGAAAGGATAAGTAATAGGTGATTGAAATGAAAGCTGGAATATGAAACCTTGAATTCTCAGAAGATTTGGACTGGACAATGGTTTGTTGGTATAGTTTTCCAGGAAAAAATGTTATTTTTAGTATTTTTTCACAAATTTCACAGGCAACCATCATTAGACAGATCAGACCAGATTCAGATTAACTACAGGATAGGAATTAGAAAGAGAAAAAAATAAAGTTCAGCCAGTTATGGCACTTTCAAGTTGAGATTATGGAACAAAGTGAAATGTTTTCATGTCACTTATACATGGTTAATCTTGTAAAATTAAATGGCTTTTAAAGATTTCACAAAGTTTTGTTATAGAGACAGAATTTAAGATCAATGTAAAGAGCAGTAGTTCAGTAGATTTAATATAGGTGAAAAAGAACCTGCGATGTTATCCAAACTAAAGCAAAAAATAAAAAATAAATTAAACAATGACAATAGCTTTCAGAATAAGCCATTCTGATAGAAAGGAAATATGACAGCCAAACTATCAAGCAAGAAAGGACAAACAATCCTTTAAGAATGTTACAACACAATGAAAAACAGGGAAAAATGCTTTTAAAAGATCAGGTAAGTCACAGGAAAATTTACACTTATAGTAGGAATATGTGCAGCAGTGGTGGTATTCAGCCGGTTGGCACCAGATCGGGCAAGAATTTGGTGTGGGTAGCAAGAATTTGGCATGGGTCGCCGAACCCGTAGTAAGTTCTGCCTGGCCACGCCCCGATCCAGTTGCCCCCCCCCCCCCGCCCGATGCTTGCTCCCCGCCCGCCTGACATTCGCCTAAGATTTCTTTTTTTCCTCTCACGATAATCAGCTGTAGATAAGATCAGCTGTGCTGGGATTCCCCTTGGTGAGGCCCAGGAAGGCAAAAAATGGAGGGAGGAGCTCAGGCCCCCCCTCCATTTTTTGCCTTCCAGAGCCCCAGAGGAACCTTGGGGGAGCAAAAATGCCCGCCCAGATGCTCCTTTGAGGCTAGGAAGCTCCCAAAACGGAGCTTGGAGGGGTGCTGCGTGCTCCTCCCATGCTCTGTTTTTTTTTCCTTCCTGAGCCTCAGAGGAGCCTTAGGGGAGCAAAAACGCCCCCCCAGAGACTCCTCTGAGGCTAGGAAGCTCCCCAAAATGGGGGGGGCAGCAAAAAAGCAAAAAAAAAAAGCCATACCGACCCAGTCACATGGCCATGCCCACAAGCCACGCCCACAGAACCGGTAGTAAAAAAAATTGAATCCCACAACTGATGTGCAGGTATTGAAGAGATCTACAAAAGGCAAATGCGGATAAAGATGGTTGACAGGCACTACTAACTGACTCCTTTACAACTGTCTTTCTGGAAGGACAGAAATATTTGTAGCAAAAATATGTTCAGGAGGCTGACTATTAGAAAGCGAGGTACAGCATGAGAAGTACTGGATCGGCTTTTGAATAGAAGAAGGATGAGTACAGATGAAATAATCACTGAACGACTTAGGCTGCAAGGGGTGCTAATATCTGCAATATACAAACACATACGGAACAAGACTGTTCATACAGACTGGAGAAGATTAGTGAGTATGTTTAGTGGAAGTATACAGATAACATACTAATCTCCTTAGGAACAGAGTTTTCAATTTTTGCAGTGTTCTCAACATTTTAGTAGAGAAATATTTCACTCATAAGATTCTATTTGGTATAATGCAATAGATAGGAAGTCTGTAAATTCATCCAGTGACAATTTCAATAATAATACATTCTGATACATATTGACTTAGAATTTGAAGTAAGACTCATGAAATGCAAGAGAGCTTCCTCCTATAAATGGCTTCAGATTCCACAGATATTATCTCACTATCCAAAATGAGGCGCCTCTCAACGTAATGAATCTATTTGCAAAAAGCACACTGACCAACTGGATGAACCTGTTAGAAATATAATTAAAGTAACAACTGCACTGACACTGTACACTGAGAATAGTTGTACAATATTATGGTTTGTCTAACTATATCACCCAAACTCAGGTTTGACTTCAGATTACTTATATTAAGGTTAACAGTGGCTTGTTGTAGATTCCATTTTTTAAACTCCCAGTCTGGTACAGCATCCATTTCCCAACCAAGTTAATCCCTCTTCACTCCTCTGATGGAGATGTAATATACTTTAGTATCTCCTATTTTGTGTATTTTGGGTACCATTTGTCTTTTTGTTTTTTGGTTTTCTTTTTTAAGGAAATGGTGCCCAGGCAGACTCAAAAAGTTACTGAGCATATTATCCAAAAACAAAAGAATAATAAATGTTCATTGAGTATGTTGTGTGAATGCTGTCAACATCTGTGACATAATATGAAGATCTAGAACAGGAAGCTCTAGTTTGAACCCGTGGCCCAGCAAGAAAAAAATCACCGTTTGCCATGCTGAGTAAGCATTATTAGAGCTCCATAAAGGACCAAGAGTGATCCGCCCCTTCTGTAGGGCGATAAAACTAATTCCATTGTAGCAAAATTAAGATGTTTGTAGCACTTTAAAAATAAACAGCATACTAAACCATAATTCTCATATTTCTTAAGCAAGTTAGAATGGTCTGCTTCACAAATCGTGCTAAGCTAGAAACTGGTTCATAAACTACAATGACTGAGATCACAGAGCATAATAATTCAGAACCAAATAAAATATATTATGATGTGTGGTGATGTAATGGGATGGATTAAAATATCACAAGCATCTTTACTGTGTTTAGAATCTGCAACAAAGACTTGCAGTTTAAAATAGCTAGGCACTATTCAGTAGCTTTGTTCTGCTTCGTGAATAGTGCAGTTTGGGCTACGTATGAGTCACACTTGATGGATAAGGTACTTCTAATACCTAAGACTACATATTGTTATTTGCACTATGAACTTCAGTTCTTCTGAAATGCCTTGTTCATTTGAACCATACCTCACAGGTCAAAATGAAATCATAATTGTGTAAGAGTTTAATTAGGCATCTGGGTAAAACACTGGATATAAAGCAGTAGTCTGTTAACTTCTGAACAGCTTTATCCCAAGTCAAATGTTTCCCACTGCGATGGCATTTTGCAAAATCATAAAAACAAATAGAGATAACCAAAATGCTTATTAATAGCTTTAGTAATATATTTATTAGGGTGGTTTGCTTTATGAATATTTTATAATTTACAAACCACTTAGAATCTTGCAAATATGTAGCAAACAATTGCATACAAATAAAGCTTAAGGGGAGAGAGATAATCACCAAACTAATTTGCTGTCATTGTGTACTGACACCGGTCAATATGGTTTAGAACTCAAAAAAGACAAGTGTGCTGTCCCAGACAGTGTATGGGAATTGGATAGTTACTTAGGAATTATGAGCTGTCCCCTTAAGGGAATGCATCTTGGTAAATGTAGTTAAAGGTATCCTGGGAAATGTAGTTCATGTCACGTGGCCACATTTGTAATCCCGATTGGTCACTAATTTGACCCTCGGTGGGTTGGGGGAGTTTTCCTCACTTGCCTGAATTCCCTAACTCATGGCAGCTGCTTTCTATCACTATGAGATGGGTTAGGAGATAACCATCTTTTACCTACAAGGCAGATATGCAAAGGATCATTAAAGAAGAACTTTGCCACAAATGTGAGTTATGAGGATACCTGATGAACCAATAAATGTACTTTGTTATGGACGTCTTGTCCATCAGTATAAAGACTGTTAATTTGGATTTGTGATAAAGCAACGTAATATTGAAGCCAGGAGTGAATATGCAATGTTAATCTAAGCCTGCATTTCTCATTGTCTCTCTCTCTCTCTGTGAGCATCAGAACTCTTTATGTGCTGGTTGGATGGTGGGAGGGGTTGGAATTCCCCCACATGCTAGAAACAAAGAGAATTTTCTAACCGCAGAATTGAAAACCAGTAACCCACCCACCCAGCCACCCCCATCTCTGCTCAATTTGTCTTCCTGCTATCTCAAAGACTCCATTTGCATAACAAGGAGAGTCAGATATTTCCCAGCTCTCAAAGGAAAATCAAACATCTGTCTTTAAACCTTCTACAAATGCAGTGAGAGACTCTGAGAAATCATGCCTGTATGCTTGTCGGTAAAACAAAAGCTGATCTTCCTCTGCTCATCTGGAAGGCAGGCAAAGCAATAAAGAGGCCAGGGTTATAAAAATTCTTCTACCAGAGCCGTCTCCAGAGCAATGGGCACATTCCTTCTCCCTGAAGAGAGACACTTAATCTAGCAATGATTTAAACAAAGTCAGCATCTTGCCTTTTGCTATCCTGCTGAAGTCAATAAGGATTTTTCCTTTAACAAAATTAGTATCAATCTAAAAGCAACCAAGGTGAAGCATCATAGTTGTGTTTTCAATTGCCATTCAACTGCTGGACTCTACCACCATCTGGTGGTCAAAAAAATTTTCTTATATGATTTTTTTTACAGTTTCTCAAATTTGACCACAGTGTTTCTCCAATGATAACCCCTTTTTGCAACTCTTGTGGACAATTTAATCAATTTAATTCAAATTTTCCAAGATTAATTGCAACCTACCAGACTCAAGCAAAGCAGCCCACAGCACCAGCTGGTGGTCAAGGAGAAATTTCCCATACTTTTCCAATACATGTTTATCTAATGACAATCCCTTTTTGCATTGTGGACAATTTAATCAATTAATTCAAGGTTCCAGGATTCACTACAGCCCATCATGTGCGTAGCAATAGCGTCTGCCAGACCCTCTAGTGCCCTCTTGTGTAGCAAGCAACACTGATAGGCGAATTTCTGCGTTTAGCCCTGAAGTCTCTAGACTTCACAACGCAACCTCTAGTGCCTCCTTGTGGAGCAAGCCACACTAGCAGGCATGTTTCTGCGTTCAGCCCTCAAGTCTTCAGACTTCGCAACGTAACCTCTAGCGCCCCCTTGTGTTGCAAGCTCACAACACACTCTAGAAACAACCATACTGTGTGCTCTGCTAGCATCGCCCAGGCTCTGCAGCGCCACCTACGTGCTCAAGTACTAAATTCAGCAGAAATCCTACTTTCCACTACCTGCGCATAGTGCCCCCTAGTACAACAAAAGGAATTACACAGAAAACCACTAAATTTTCCAAAATTCTCCCTTTGCCAATTTGAAGCATGGCAACTTCCTCAGCCATGACAGATGTCTCTGATGTACCAGAAGACCTGAATCCTCCACCCACCCTTGTTGCAAACATGGAACCTGGTTCCCGAAACTGAGTTTCAGATGTCCAAATCTCTACGGAAGTGGTGATACCTCCGAAAGCCTACGACCTCAGAAAGAGTAAGAAGCTTACTGAACCCATGGAAGAACACTCGAGGAATGAGTGGGAGAAACAATATCGCCACTATGCAGACTCCTAGGTGGAGCTTGAGAAGATCTGTGATGCCCCAAAACACAAGCTGCTCCCGAGAAACTCCGCACATTGCTAGATGATCTAGATGCCCTTTTCACACAGTGGAGACGCAGCGAAAACAACCTCAAATCCATCCAGTCAAGACTGGGTGACCCAAAACTCCTCAAACATGTCCAATGCTTTGAGGAGATTCACAAGGAACGTGAAGACTGCATCGAGGAAAACAAAACAGCCCTCCAGGCAGCACTCTGCAACACACTCCACCAGAAAGTAGCATGAAGGGAGCAGGCCACATGCAACATAGCTCCTCAATCACATGCATCTTCTTCCCACCACTCATAGAAAACCTCCTCCCTCTATCCTAAACCAGCTAGATCACAAGCAGGTTCCAGCGTCTCATGCCAATTTTCTCCTGCCGGCTCTCACCATCCTTCCAGAGCATCCTCCCGTCGTAGCGGCACATCTAAGGCCTCCAAAGCAGCAAGTTACACCGACTGAGCCGCAGAAGCTGAGGTAGAAGCGGTTGTAGCAGATGCAGAGCTACGCACCACAGAGGAGGTAACACGGCAAAAGGCGGCAGTAGCGGCTCAACAGGCTGAAATAGCAGCTCAACAGGCTGAAATAGTGGTACAACAGGCAGAAATAACCAAAGCCCAGGCCAGACAACAGGCAGAAATGGCCAAAGCGCAGGCCAAATTGGAGTTGGCCGAACGGCAAAGAGATGCCGCAACAAAAACTGCACGGGCCACAGCATTGTGGAAGATGGCCGACAACACCTCCCTCCAATTCAACCTCAAAGAGTTGGGAGAAAAGAGCCCAGATACATGGGTCAAAACCTACATGAATGAGCAGCACTCTCTTCGAAACGAGCAGGTGCAACCGCCTCAGATGCCTAGAAGTCTTCCACTACCAAGGCAGAACAGGGATGAAGCTCAACCACAGACTCTACACACCAGTTATGCAACTGACTTTGTACGACCTAAAGTACAAGATTCACTTCCGACCAACAAAATGAAAAACAAGTATAGTTGTATTGCTTCCTTGGGAGAAGGGAATGCCCCAAAATAATATATAGGCTTCATGGCAGCAGAGAGCTTTGTTTTCCCAGAACCATTCTAGGTAGATGAATGATATAATGCAATCAATCAAAGCTTCCCATCATAGAGACAATGAACTGTATTTTTAGTTAGAGTTCTCAAAATTTGCTACAATGTTTTCCATTTCAAAAGCTCAAGTATAAATTTACACAATAAACATAACTATTCCACATCCAATGATTTTCATGACTCCCTTTTACTTAATAGCCTAAGGAGACCTTTATTAGATCAAATCAAGATCTATCCCTGCACCAACTCTCAGGTAAGCACAAATATAGCACAATATAACACAAAGGACACCTATCTCCCACTCCTCTCAACAGCAGCAACTTTCAGGAATTCACCATAACAATCTTAGCAAACAGTTGCTGCCCAGATTAATACTTTTCAAAGTGACTTTAGAATCATTTATTGGAGGTTTTGAAATCCCTCTCGCCTTGGGGTTTCAAAATAGAGGTTACTTCAGTTCCTATGCTATAGGTAGAATCCTGTGAATTTCATCTTTACCCTCACAAACAGACAGGCATATGTTGTAATTAAGCTCAAGTTGTAATCATTAATGGCTACAATGATATACATCAGGGATGTCAAGCTCTTTGGGGTGTCAAACACACAGCATCGCATAATGTATCAGGACTTTTTTCCCCTTCGCTAAACCAGGCGGGGTTGGGGCCAGCATGTGACACATCCAGGCTACGAGTTTGACACCCTGATATACATGAAGATGTGAAAAGCAAAAGGCTTGCCTTGCACAGAATCACAGTCTGTTGTTGTGGGGAAGAGGAAAGAGTATTAGGTATGTTTGCCACCTTGAGTTATTTCTAAAAATAATAAAGCAGGATAAAAATAAAACACCTCTTATACCATTTCCACAGTCAGAAGAAGCAGTTTTGAAACCCACCTTGTCATTTTTCTGCCTTTATAATACTTGGGTAAAATGCAGAATTTAGATTTTCTTTGTCCAGAAGATAGGTTTCACTGCTGAAAAACTTAACAAACTTTTAAAAATCACAAATAACATTTAGTCAGGGAAGTGTGAAAACTGAGCCAGAATCGCCACTAGTTCAGAGAAAGGAATTTTATCATAGCTTTTTTAACCAAGGATCTTGTTAAAGCCTAGTAGTGCTTTTCACAACCAAACTCTGATATGGAAGAATAATGAGGGAAATCAACAAATTGGTTTCATCACTCAATGGCCTCAACAGAGCAGCATCTGCTGATGTTGTTAGCTGTATACAGTCTCCTAGCTCAGTGGTCCCCAACCGGTTCCATGGAGAGAGGTTTTTCCACAGACCAGACGGAGGCTGGTTTCATGTGCTGCCTGCATCCCATGGATGGGGCTTCACTTCGCATCTTTGAGTGGCCCCGTTTCTGGCATGCTGCAGTCCATGGACCTGGGTTGGAGACTCCTGTCCCAGCTCCTATATAGGCATACTTTTCATGGTGTTTTCTTAACGTTCATAAATTGAGCTAATTAAACCTCTTTTTTAAACCCCGTTTTACTTTGACCAAGAAATCCATAGATCTTACTCCAGCAACCCTTCTCTCTTTGTTGACTAAATCAATTCCCTCATCTGATCCAGGAACTAGAGATTATAAAGCACTACCCCCTTTGCAAGCTGCAAATATTTTAAACTATTTTATCCTTTGCTCTTACTTGCTATTGGAATTGTCTGTAAATAAGAACCACAAAAGTTATTCAGCAGTAGCAGCTGCTGAAAGAATCATTATTTCTACCACCATCTTATAAGCCACATTCAGTTTAGAGAGAGACTATGCTATTTATGCTTTATCAGACTCTTGCACTGAAGGAGAAAAGCTTTCTACCGTAACTCTGTTTAGGACTCCCCTGGCTGCAACAGGCATTAAGAGCTATGCAGCATTTCAGATTTGAAACCAGAACGGCACTTCAGGATGTGCTTGATTAAAGGAACTGCAGGCAAGTGGTCCATGTATAGGAAATAAACATGATATTATACTCCGCATATTGATGTCATCACAGAGTTACAATGTTAGCATCATAATTTGCATGACATTATATATTGCAAATAAAATTTGCATCATCTGTATCAACGCAATGATTACCTGATCCAACGGACTTTCTGAAGTAGATGCCCTCTCCATCCAATTGATGTATTAGAACTAAAAGGAATATGTCATGCTTTGTTTTTGTTACCCTTGCCAAATAACTTTAAAATTCTGATAGTAATCTAGCCCTAGGACCCCTAGTTGATTATCTGCAATATCCCAAAATCCAAGCAGCATAACCAGTGGTCATTCAATAGGATTACTTTGCCCAGGAATTTGTGATTAGTATCAGAATGAAATGTTTGCAAGTAGTTTCATAAACAAAATCTACATTCTTGTTCTTTATCCCACTATTGAGTGTGTTTTTCTCCAGCAATCTAATCAGTAGTGTAGGAGAGGCTGTACTATTTTAACTGATGTTGTTAAACAACTGGTAGGTGGAACCCTTTCCTGAGCTTTCATCTATAAATCTACTTTTAGGATCTAATCTAACTTCTGCCTTCCACAGGCCTAGTTCATGTTGTGTGCTTTATAAACAATGGGGTGGTGGCTATAGTTAGTTGCATGTCTGTATTTCATATACCGTATATGCCGGCGTATAAGACGACCCGGCGTATAAGACGACCCCCCAACATTTCCACTCAAAATATAGCTTGTTATATACTCGCCCCCTCTTCCGCACGCCTTCCACTTTTGCACTTTTTTTTTTTTTGAGGCACTTTTGTCTACCGTGGAAACGAATCCCGTGAAGCTGAAAGGAGCAGCCAGCCTTCTCCCAGCTCCCAAGGAAACGAGGCTCGCACCGCCCGGGCTCCGCTGAGGTATCCGGCTGGAGCTGTCAGGAGTTGTTACCGCTGGCGCGGCTCCAGTCCCGCGTTGCCTCGGGAAGGGAAAGGCAAAAAGGAAGAGCCGCGGCTTTTGCCTTTCCCTTCCCGAGGCAACGCAGGACTGGAGCCGCGCGGAGCCGCGCCAGCGGTAACAACTCCTGACAGCCCCAGCCGGATACCTCAGCGGAGCTCGGGCGGTGCGAGCCTCGTTTCCTTGGGAGCTGGGAGAAGGCTGGCTGCTCCTTTCGGCTTCACAGGATTCGTTTCCACGGTGCGCAAAAGTGCCTCAGCCGCGGGCAGCCGCAGTGCTTCCCAATTACTATTTGCCGGCGTATAAGACGACCCGGCATATAAGACGACCCCCCCAATTGGAGGCATCTTTTTCAGGGCAAAAAAGTCGTCTTATACGCCGGCAAATACGGTATGTAATATATCTAACCCAGAGGTGTCAAACTCGATTTCATTGAGGGTTGTGTTTGACCTCAGGGGGCCAGGGTGGGCATGGCCAGGGTGGGCGTGGCCAACATGACATCACGTGTTGGGGGGGCGCCTGTGGTGGCCCAAGCACTCTGCCAGTGAAAATGGGCCCCTGAGCTCCGTTTTCGGCAGCGACAGCCTCCTGCAACCCTCTGCTAGCAAAAACGGAAGTCAGGAGGGCCGCGCGAGGCCCTCGTGAGCTCAGTTTTCACTGGCAGCAGCACCGCAGCTGCTCCTTCGCTATTTCTAGGGCAGCCCCACAGGCCAGATTTAAGCACCCTATGGGCCAAATCCGGCACCCGGGCCTTGAGTTTGACGGCTCTGATCTAAGCCAACCCAAATTTTTTCATGGTATCGTTAAAGGAATAATATGTAATGCTAAGTTCTTTGTGAAAGGTAGGTTATCAAGTTAAACTCAAATGAAAGGTTATCCAGTGACTACTCAGTAGGGCAAAAGCTGTGTAAAGGTGAACAGAACACCTCTATCTATTCTGAAGCACCTTTTTGAAATTTAAACTAAATCACTAACAAGCCATATTCCACAACCAATGTGACAAAGACTGTCCTGGCATTAAGAATTAGAACAGGAATATCACTGTCTATTCCACATCCTTAAATAAGATTTAGATATAGATGGATAGTCACTGTATGCTTTCCTTAACACAGTTATTTTCTGCAATTTTTGAAAAACAGTAATATTCAAATATACATGCACAAACAAAATTAAGTCACATAGCACTTTAAAGACAGCTTTATTGCAGGATAAACACTTAATAAATTATGAATTAAACTGATGCTCAAAGCTGCATGAAGAAAAAAAGCCATATTTTCATTGTCACAACTTACTGAATAAATCATATGGAGTTAACATAAATTAAGCCATAAACCAAGCAAATCCCAGTAGACATTATGGTATGTGTACTAAGACAGATAAAATGCTTTGTTTCTGAAACAAAAAGCCTAAACATATAACTTCAGTATCAAGGACCCAGAAATGTTGCATTTCAAAAATCATCTTGAAATCAATAGCCAAAAATGTTACAGAAAAGTTCAAAATAGATTTTGAAATTATTTATTATTTAGTAATTACAGGCATTATACTCAAAAGACATCATAAATTTGAATATCGACCCTCTGAGTAAAAGGTGGAAAAGAACAGAGTTGAAGCTGCTGTTATTCTTTACTTGATAACCAGTAGAGAAGGATAACAAAAATCATTAAATGCCATAACTTTTAATAGTACAATAAAACACATACAAAGACCTCAACAATTCCATCATCTGTCCATTACTATCCTTATAGCAAGTATTCAATTGATTGCTTTGCTCACAGTCCAATTTATTGGTAACTGGGAAAATGTTTCTTATTTAGTTTTAAAATAGCTACCAAGTGCCTGTGGGGCAAGATAATTTTTTCAAGTCCCTCAATGAAGTCATAGGATTCAGCCTCAGAAGTGGTAACATCTCTTTTTATGTCTCCTTTAGGATACCATCAGAGAAGAATGTTTGTATGGTGAAAATAAGGCACTCATTCAGCATGTGAAGGAGTATACACATGTGGAAAGTCTACCTAGCTCCTCTCCAGGGATAGGATTCTACCGGTTCGGACCGGTTCACACGAACCGGATGTTAAGTTTCCATCTGGTTCGCCAAACTGGTATTTCAAACAACCGGCTGGCCCTGCCCACTCCACCCCTCCCAGGAGTCTCCGCACAGCCAATTTTCCATGCAGGTAAGTGCAGGGTCCGCGCGGAGGCTCTGAGAGGAAGGGAAACAGGCCTTCTGGAAGTCCAGGAAGGCTGTTTCACCCTCCCAGAAGCCCGGGGGAGGCCTCCAGATCCTTGGGAAGGTGAAAAATGGCCCTCCCGAAAAAAGAAGAAGTTGCAAAATGGGCCTGTTTCCGGTTTCCGGTGGCCCTCCAGAGCCTGGGG